TTCTTTTGTTAGCCGATGTATTTGAAAACGTCAGGAGAACATGTCTGGAAAATTACAAACTTGACCCTGCACATTACATGTCAGCACCTAGTCTAAGTTGGGACGCCTTCTTGAAACAGTCAGGTGAGGAAATAGAACTTGTAAGTGATATGGACATGTTTCAGTTCTTCGAGAAGGGAATGAGAGGTGGTATAAGTCATATTGCTCATAGACACTCAACAGCCAATAATAAGAACATGGAGACGTATGATGAGTCGTCTGAAAACAAGTACCTTATGTACCTCGACGCTAACAATTTATATGGCTGGGCGATGTCACAACCACTACCTAATGGAGAGTTCGAGTGGGTCGAGGAAGTCGATGGTATGAATCTTGATAACTACCTTGAAGACAGCAAAAGTGGTATGGTTTTAGAGGTTGACCTGGAATATCCACAAGAACTTCACGATGAACATAACGGTTATCCTCTAGCACCGGAGAGTAAGGAAATCAGTGCTTCTATGTTGTCAGATTATGCGAAGAGTATTGCTGAGAAATTCCAGCTGACAATTGGAGGAGTAAGAAAACTGGTAAACTCACTAGGACCCAGAAAGAACTACGTCTTACATGTACGTAATCTAAAACTCTACACAGACCTTGGAATGAAACTCACAAGGGTTCATAGAGCGGTTACATTTAAACAGTCTCCCTGGCTTAAGAACTATATTGACTTCAATACGAAGAAAAGATCAGTAGCTCGTAACACGTTCGAAAAGAACTTCTTCAAGTTAATGAATAATTCAATCTATGGAAAAACAATGGAAAATCTTAGGAAAAGAGTTGATGTAAAATTAGTGTCCTCAAAAGACGACCTCCTAAAACTGACAGCATCACCCTGCTTCCAGTCACATCGAATCATGAATGAGAACCTTATAGTTGTAAAAAGAACGAAGGAAGTTCTAACGCTAAATAAACCGTGCTATGTAGGAATGAGCATCTTAGACTTATCCAAGACTTTAATGTATGATTTCCACTACAACACAATTAAGAAGGAGTACGGTAACAGGTCAAGGTTACTGTTCACTGATACTGACAGCTTGATGTATGAAATAAAGACGGATGATGTCTACGAGGACTTCAAGAGGATCGGTAAAGAGCAAGACTGTTGGGATAATTCAGATTACCCAAAAGATTCTCCATATTACTCAACTCAAAATAAGAAGGTCATAGGTAAGTTTAAGGACGAAACTGAAGGAGTACCCATAATTGAGTTTGTTGGGTTAAGGTCTAAGATGTACTCATATGTGAAGGAAAACGGTGGAGGTGGAATGACCGCTAAAGGAGTCAAAAAGTATGTCATTAGAAATAAGCTCACTCATGAGAACTTCAAGAATGTAATTAGTACGAAAGGTAGGATGAGACATAATATGAATACAATCAGGAGCATCAAGCATACAATTGGAACTTACGAAATGAGGAAGGTCACTCTAAGTTGTTTTGATGATAAAAGGTATATCTTGGAGGATGGAGTTACCAGTTATGCTTACGGACACTACCTGACAATGAAGGAAGCAGTTAAATGTAAAGTCGAACCTGTAAATGAACTGATAAGAGTTGGAAGGCTACCCGGAGAATTTACCCAAGAGGAAGCAGATCGGATGATACTAGAAAGGGTAAGATATAAGTGCAGAAAATTATGCCCCCTTAGAAGAACCCTGGCGGATCTTACACTAACTAGAAACAATAGGGACATATTACCACGTGAAGCTGAAGATTACATAAAAACTCTAGTAAACGCTGCTATGGCGTATAGAAGGTAGTTGTTCAAGCGTTGATTGAAAGGTTTTTATAGAAGGGTGTAAGTACCCTCAAGGATGAAATAAAAGATGTTGAATAGGCTTTGGAATAGAGGAATTGAATGAAATTGGTGGAGTTGAAATTTGAAGATTTGAGAGAAGTGAATCGTTTTAATCTTGTTAGAAAATCTAGCGCTTAAAAAACCAATATGGTCTAGAAAATAAAATCATGATTAAAAAATTCAGATTGAGCCAGACGGATTCCGGTTCACGGAAAAACCGTCGAAAGTCTGGTGGTCCAGACACGCTAGTTCCTATACTACTGTTTTATCCTCGTCGCCATTGTTGAATTTAAACGTATATTCTATTTCTTGCTTTCCTACACTCTCACATTGCATGCAATAACAATCCCATTGTCTCCTACTGACACTGTTTCATAATATGTCATTTATGCGAGGGGTGTGTCTACAACACTACACCAAACTACACCAAATTGCAAATATTCTTCTCTACTGATGGCAGGCTCTTGCATGTGGAAACATGTTTCAAATTTTTTAACGGAAAGCTTTGCTCGCCTCAAGTACAATGCTCTTCGATTTTAAATGAAAATTCATTTTAAGCCATACTTTGAAGTAGCGAAAACGTCCCGAAAAATTTAAATTTAGGTTTGCAACAGGCACATTCTCTCTTTTTTATTGCAGCTGGAAATTTCAGTCCCCATGACCCGTTGGTTCAAATTTACTAAGTTACGACTTAATACAGAATGAATAGAGAGCTTCTTTGGCTGACGCATAATGGGAGATGGAGGGCGGGTGCTTTCCTCTAACATTTTCGTAGTCTCTGAAAGATAGCTGATTAACTATGTAACTAATGTAATTAATTCTTTACGTACCTGTTCACACTATCAGCAGTTAGTGTCAAGATCAAATGTTCCAGACGTGAAGAAATGTATTCAGTCTCACTTCAAAAAATCTGGTTGGAACACAGAAGTGCAAAATGCTGTTTATCAACAATTGAAGAGGTAAACTGGCTCGTACCAGGGCGGTTATAAGATAGGGCGGTGAAACGATTGATAGTCGCGTGAAATGGGCTAGCGAGGGAAGCTTCGAATTCTTATCAAAACAAAAAATTGATGCGAAATTCAAAGGGCCTGATTAAATCTCTTATTATTTCAAAAATATTAAGTCTACCGTTGGCATTTTTGGGAACTTGTTACTTATGCTTTTTCCTATTTATATGACATGGTTTAAGGCATTCGTAAAGCAAAATAGGAAAGTTTTCCACGCTGAAGGTGAACAATAATATGGCTCCCTTCACTCATTTTGTTGCATACATAAAACAATGGCGTGTTTTGGTAACTCAAAAATAAGCCAAAAGTTCGCGTTTAATAAATTTACTGTAAATTTCATGGCGTAATTTTTTGAGCTTTTTTTACAATAGCTTGCGGCATAAAAATTTATTACGGACGAGCAATCTCGCATCATCAAAGCCAAAGGATTTTCAAATTTACAAATTTAAAACATACCTGAAACGTTTCATGGGCACTTTTATTCTTCATTTTACAAAGGAATACTTGTTTTTCTTACTGGTATGATGATACCCGACCAGAAGCCAAAATACTCTGAGAAAATGTGAATTGTTTTCAAACTAGCTTCCGTGTTCATCTTCCCTGCGGTTTTTCCAATCCCAACCATTCAATTTATAAAATATGAATAACTTGCACTGCCACTGGAAGTTCGCAAACTCCAAGGACGATAGTTACTCCATTTATAGATCTTTCATCGGTAGAAATATGGCCGCTAAACTTTTTGAGCTTTTTTGCTATATGCGAATGAAACACGAACGGCTTGAAAAATATTCGGCTGACATTTTGAAGTCCAGAAGCAAACCGAGCAATAACATTGCAAAAAAGCGAGAAAATTACGAATTGGCGGCGAATATTATTGAGGAATATTACAAACGAATTAACTAAAAAGGTAAACAAACACTTGTGTTTCTTATACACTGCACCACATGGGTAGTACATGGTCATGGGCAAAAAGTACTGTGTCTGTAGGAGTTTTAAAAATAATTGCAAATACCAAACCTTGGTTCAACATCTGGACATTAAACGACTCTGATGTTTTATCAGTGTTTTCGAATAACATGTGAAATTTTATCAGCTTTTTCGACATCGACATTGATTGAACTAAGAATTAACTCAAAGTTTTCTTCCTCAATTTTTAATAGCCGTTCTACCATTTTTACTAGAATGTTTTTAAAAATCTGTGGGGGGTCCGTGCATCACACATATTTCAGGGCGCCAATGCTCGTTTCACCGCCCTATCTTATAACCGCCTTGCTGGTACCCTGCGATTTCCTTTTGGAACGCCGATAGTTTATCTCTTGTAATTTGCAGAAATAGTTTTATTGGGGTTTGCAAATGATAATAAAGAGTCCTTAAAATTGTGTAATATTTACACCATGAAAAGTCTTTAATGGCACCTTATTGGGTACAGTTCAATTTGAAGTTAGGGAGAAAACCCTGTCTTTAAATAACCTGAAATGAATTCTCCATGCTATCACTATGAGTTACTAGTCTGTGGAAACCACCAACAGGTGACCGATTACTGCAAACCCCACCCAAGTGTTTTTTACAATTTTCCCAAGTAGTAAGCCAATTATAAGTTGAAAGATTTATTCATTTTGTACGTAGCTATATATGTATTTTATAGGCAGAAAGATGATGCAACTGCATGTCCCAATAATTGCAAAGAACCACTTGCATTTTTACAGAAAGCTCAGGTAAATCCTCTACTGAATCCCCTCCTCTCGATCATTCTCTCAAATAAGCCCCCTTTCTAAGATGCGCTCCTTTTTAGAAGAAAAGTAATCTTAACCCCTTTTAAAAGAAAAAAAGTTAAGATTATTATTTATTAAAGTTAAGGTTAAGATTATTACTTTTTCAGAAGAAAAGTAATCTTAACCCCTTTTCTCTCCAAAAACGCCTTCTAATGACTTGGCTGTAGTGGATGAAACTGTTAAATTTGTCGATGATACTAGCCTTTGGGAAATAATATCAAACAATTCCCAGTTACCCGCTAACATCATCAGCTGCTCTGAATGGTCATCAGACAATAATATGAAGTTAAACGTGTCAAAGACCAAAGAATTGCGTGTCTGCTTTTCTAAGCTTACTCCATCGTTTGTCCCTATTACCATTCGCGGTCAAGAGGTCGACGTCGTTTCCGAGGCCAAACTATTGGGCGTTGTCCTTTCGGACGACCTCAAATGGAACTGCCATATTGACTACATTTGCAAGAAAGCCGCGAAGCGTTTGTACGGTCTGCGCCTTCGTAAAAGAAATGCTTTACCTTCTCATATTCTGATCTCAACCTATTGTACACATATTCGACCAATTGTCGAATATGCTTGTCAGGTGTGGCATTATGGCCTTCCTCATTACCTGAGTGATCAAGTTGAAAAAATACAAAAAAGGGCATTAAAAATTATTTTCCCTGGGACTATCTATGCTGAATGTTTGCTTAAAGCTAACTTGATGACTCTTTACGAACGTAGAACTGTCCATTGCAAGCGACCCCTTTCGAAGATGTTGGAACCCACTCATAAACTGAATGCCTTAGTACCGCCTAAAAGTCTTCAAACTTATAATCTGAGGTCTTATCCCAACTTATTAGTACCTAGGTGTAGACCTGAACGTTTTTCGAACAGTTTCATTCCTGCTGCGTCTCGTGCTTATAATAATAAGTAAACTTTAGATTATTATCGTTATTTTTATCTAACTTACCTATTTTTACCTGTAAATATAGAATAGATTGAATACCTATGTTCTTATACCCTGTAATTCCAAAGTAATTCAGTTGTTACTGCTAGTTTGGAAATTTAAAATAATAATAATAATAATAATAATAAGAGACAAATGCGTCTGATAAGATATATTATTAGGCTTCTGATTTCACATTGGTTTATAGCGTTTCTTTCTTCCTGCGTTTCAGTAAGGCCCCGTCCACACGTATCTAGATTCGTTTGTATCCGCAAATATTTTGTTACGGATTCAAAACTTTACGCGTCCACACGTATCCGGATTCGTTGGGTTTTCGACCGTCCACACGTATCCGCAAAAACGATACTAATACGCTAGAATATACTAATACGCTAGAACATGCGATGAGCCGGCGATGTAGTTAATGCCGGAGAAAAGTTAGCAAATGAAAGTCATCGCAGGGAAAAGTAAGAGCCAGCCATTTGTGTGGACAGACGTTGAAGTGGACCTTGTATTAAGTGTTATTCTGGATTATAAAGTCGCAAGGACGACAGGAAATGTCGATTGGGAAACCTGCCAGTCAAAGTATTCTGACATTTTGAATCTGTTCACAGCACAGTGTCAGTACGTTGTATACTTTAGAGTGGGTGGATATCAAATTTCATCGATTTACGTCATCGTTTTCAAAACGTTACTGTGCGTCCACACGTATCCGGATTCGTTGCGTTTTCAAAGGTTTCCACTCTGGAGAGCGTTTTCAAAAGTTTGCGGTTACATTGTGCGTTTTCATCGGATACATGTGGACGGAAGGCGTATCCGCAACAAAATGTTTGCGGATTCAAACGAATTTGGATACATGTGGACGGGGCCTGAATTCATTAAACTCCCCTCCGAAAAAAGCCGCCACTCACTTTAATAGTCCAGTTTCCCTCAAACGCACTAATAATACACCCTTTAGAGCCTTGTATCTTGTTACAGGTGACACATGTACGAAATCAAACAATTATAGTAGATAATATAAAAGACGTTTATATAATTAAGTCATCGATAACAAGATAAAAGGCTCCAAAGCAGATATCGAAGACGAGGCTGTATAGCCAAGACTAAGTACTTTCCTGAAGGGTGTATTGTGATATATTTTTCCATTGTTATTATATTCCACCTTTTTAGGCATCTTGGGAGAAGAAGGTCCTTAAAAGCATCAATAGCATGTGTACTGAGTTGTCTCTTTCATTGGCAAGGAAGGTACAGTAACGTTATCGTAAGGTAACAACGCCTTAGAGCGTAGAAGCCCAGGCTCTGCTTATTGGCGATGCGGGCATAAGCAAAGCTTGGGATTCCTGTTCTCTGTACCAAACCACGGTTAACGAAACTAATCAGTACCAAACTAATTCAGAGATCAACGACAGATCAAGCTGCAGTATCATCAAAGTTTAGTACACTTGGCTCCGAGTGTGATATGACAGGTAAACAGACAAATTTGAGTATTTTTACAAAACTCCAAATTCAGTATTCATCACTGAAATCATGCTTCAATAAGAATGTAAATGAGCAGTTCATCACTATGGTATAGAGTTTTTATTCTCTATATCTAGTGAAATATGTACTGTATAATTTTCCCTTTAATTGAGGTACAATGTGCCTCCAATGTCCACCAACATTGTTCACCACACCTGTTAACAGTAAAAAATGCTAACTATATGGCAACAAAAAAATTGGAGATGATTATTCTAAACAACCAAAACTTGGGATTTTCTTCTAGCACTAAATAAAATCAGGCCAGTGTATTCCACATTGGATTTTATGGAGGTAAGTACTGGGTGTATGTACTTTCATTTATTTTTCTTGGTGAACAGTTTTAACAAAAGGATGAATCTCCATAATTTTGCATTACACACTTGTACTGCGCACACCAACTCGTGCGAAATTTAAGTTTAATTATGCATTATGTCCGTTCAAATGTTCAAATTGACAGTTCTAAATTACTCTAAGCATTTCTGGCTACAGCAGAGAATTACTTAAAACTCTTTTCCAAGAAAGGAGATACAAACATATATAGCGAGAGTTCCCACGAGAGACGTTAAGCAAGAGACCATTGATTCGAAGGACGAAGGTGGGACATTCGAAGATAACTTTGAGCTAGTGATTCGAATTCTTTTTCACACCACAACTTTTAGAATGTAAACTGCTGTATGAAACCTTCTTTCTACTGCAGGCTGTTATTAATGTGAAGAATCCAAACTATTCTCCTCTAAGGAAGACTCCAAAGTAAGCAATGTAATTTTGCATTCTGCACGTCCTGTGTGATGCAGCACTGGTCGCTTACAGCACTTTTAAGTGCTGTAAATAATCTTAAAAGAATAGAATAATAAAAGAATAATCTTAAAAGAATTATTCTTAAAAGAATAATCTTTAAAGAATCTTAAAAGATTCTTATTTACTTTTACCCACTATAGTAGTACTTTTGTTTGACCTTAATCGGAATTTTTGCATGTCTTTTATTACTGTAGTTCAATTAGAGGATGGGGACAAATTAAAGTGCAACTTAAAGTGAAGACTGTTTCAGAACTGGTAAGCTTCTTGCTAATGCAGTAAAATAATGGTCACAATTTTATATGCATGAATGAAACAAGTATGAAACAAAAAACAAGAATATAACATGTCTTTTTATTTCATACAGTATTTAACATTTAATGAGATATTCTCTTCACAGCGTTCGTTCTTCAAAGAAACGGAACATTGTGGCAGTCAACACGGTTCGTTTGACGCTGAAGGAAACTCCAAAGGTTTTTAATTTAACTGTATAAAGTTGACCGGGTTGATCGAGCTATACAGAGTATTATACAGGTCGATTGATCTGGATTTTGAGGTGATGTGAAGATACCCGATGTGGAAGCATCCTCACTTGTGTACAATGCCAAGATGCCAAGGACGGATTTTTGGCAAAGTGGTACAAAACGCAACAGACCTTTTAATTAAGCATGTGGAGTGAGGAGGCTAGAGGTAGGGTGAGGTGGAGTGACGATGCGCCAGGTGGAGTGGGGTGGAGTGAGGATGCAAGAGGTGGAGTGAGGATGCAAGAGGTAGAATCAGGCAGAGAAAGGTAGAGTGAGGATGCCTAAGGTAGAGTAAGGTGGAGTAGGGATGCGTGAGGTGGAGTAAGAATACGGTAAAACTAGGAGTTACTATCGCAAGCAAAATGCTGCCGATATGTACATGCAGGATGTACTACAACCAAAAAGTGTCTTTTTCACTGTATGTATGATTTAATGTCTTACACATGTTCTACATCAATTACCTTCTACAATTGTATCCAGGGACGCCGGAACGATGTGAAGGCAAGGGTGGCAGATTTTCGTGAAAGGGCACTTTTGAATTGATATATACTAAGAGATGTTTGCAAGACATCGGGAGTTGAACTTCACCTAATCATGTTTTCTATTTATTGGATGATAGGGGTGTGAGGGGGTTCTCCGCCAGGCGATTATGCTATTCATGAAGCTCGATGACTGCAATTCTTGCGTTTTCTGAAGCAAATTAGTAAAAGAATTCCACTAACATTTCTGACAATTCGCTATTTTGCCAAGGCAATCCTTTAAATTGAAAGGACACCTTTGCCCCCCTTGCCCCTCTGGTAAAGGGCAACGGGGGTGGCTGCCCTTCCTGCCCCCCAGTTCTGGCATCCCTGATTGTATCTTACATCTCATCTTATAAAAAGTGCACTATAAAGTATAAACTTGGTGATCACATGTGTGAGTTTGCCACTGAATACAGAACAATGTTTATATAAAAATACTATAAAGTCGGTTTTTGTTCCAATTATCGTTTTACATGTAATGCCACCTTCATGGCTTCCCCTATCACAGACCAACCGAACAATCTGCCGATGGGTAGACAAAATGTATTTGTTGACATTTCTGTTTAATATGCTTCAGATGACACCATTCATTGACATGATTAAGATTGTACTCAGTCAGAACTGCAAAAATATATAATAAGAAAGAAATTGTGAGCATTATCGTAGTGACACAGCCATATGTAGGCCACTAGAATTATTTCATATTATGCTAACAATGGACATATCTCAGATCTTATACAAAAGTCAGTTAAAATGTTAGTAATATTACATGTAATTGCTGGTAAGTCAATATATGTGCAGACAATAATCCACACTGGGTTGCTCTAGGAATCTTTAATATTAAACCTGATTTAGCAACATTCCACATTTGTTTAAAGCTATAAACATCTAGAAATGGAACACTATAAACTCATTGCCTTTGCACATAATGGCAGATCACTGATAGTTGGTGCCTCAATGGGCTCCACCACAATGGGCAGAGCAGTCTGTAGGGTCGGCCATAGGGTTTTGTGTATATAGGATCTAATGGTATTTAATTCGAGTATACTGTATATTTACTTTAAATGTTATGACTAATTTTGGGTATTAGGTCTGGTATACAGCTTCTGATTGCTTTAGGTATTATGTAACATTTTGACCATATAATAGGTATTTTGATCCATATTTATCAGCTATTTAGGATACCACGACCCCCCCCCCTGGCTGACCCCTAGTCTGATAGTTGGTGCCTCAATGGGCTCCATCGCAATGGGCAGATCGCTGATAGTTGGTGCCTCAAAGAGCTAGACCACAGGCAGATCAATGGTTTTTGCCTCAATGGGCTCTAGATACCACAATGGACAGATCTATAGTTTTTGTCTCAATGGGCTCTACCACAATGGGCAGATCTATAGTTTTTGCCTCAACGGGCTCTACCACATTGGCACAATGGGCAGATCTATAGTTTTTGCCTTGAATGGGCTCTACCACAATGGGCAGATCAATGATATTTTTTGCCTCAATGGACTCTACTACAATGGATATAGAATGCTATTATTTTGTCCTACCACCATGGGCAGACTGTTTATAGTATCATTATTTTGTGTATCAAAAGGATTCACAGGTGTTGTAGTTGTTTTTGCATGCACTACATGTGGTATATTACTTGTGTCGATCACAGAATCACATATCTTGTAAGAAACATGTTTGTATACAACTTGAAACACTGACAAGTTTAGGTAAATTATCGACAGATAAGAATTCGACAGCAGGTTCTAAGACAACAAAGCCATCATTCAGAGCTTGCAAGTACATTTTGTCTCCTTGTAATAAGACATTATTTATAAATGTTGTTTTTGACCAATCGATCAGTGGTATATTTTGGGCAGTTTCTAAGACAACAAAGCCATTATCCAGAGCTTGCAAGTACATTTTGTCTCCTTGTAATAAGACGATTAAATGTTGTTTTTGACCAATCGATCAGTAGTATATTTTGGGCAGTTAAAAGTGCTGTTAAACTCATAAAAGCACATTGTTTGCCTCTAGATTGAACACTAAAAATGTCATTGCCTGATGTATATAAGAAGAAAAAAATAGAGCCGAACTTACCTGAATGTTTCCGAATATTTTTTATCTCTTGCTGTCTTGTGATCCGTATTTAATTAAAAGCTTGAAAATCTTCATGTTTTGACCGCTCCCCTCATTTAACAAACGTTCCTGAAGCTTAATTATTCCCCCCGGATTACGACAAACATCTTTACAGACAGACAGACAGACAGACACAAGATCTCGATCTCGACAATACATAACTCGCGCGAAAGACTGGGTCGAGTGGACTCTGGAGAAACCACCGCGTGTCAAGAATAGTGTGCTGCCTCGCTACGCTCGGCAGCAATGAGGATGTTTGATGTGCATGGAGTGAGGATGCGTGAGGTGAGTGGTGGCATGAGATTGTGTCAGGTGGTGTGACAACACTCAAGCAGAGTGAGATTGCGTGAGGTACAGTGAGGATACGTGGTTGAGGTGAGGATACGTGAAATGGACGTGTAAGGTGGAGTGGGGTTGCTTGAGATAGAGTGGGGGTGGGAAAATGGTGTGTAATGAGATGAAATCAGAATGAGTAATGTGGATTAAGGTAGAGTGGGTTCAAGTTTGGATTCCTGAGGTGGAGTGGTATCCTCGGAGGTGGAATATGGTCGAGTGAAAATGCCTTAGGCCTATTGTCAGGCAGATAGGAGGGAATAAAACTCACCCGGTCAGGGGACGAAAGATCAGCTAATCGTAAACTCTGCTGAAATCTCAGCAAGCTGCTTGCTTGATCCCAAGTATGGCGAGCACAATACAAGTTCGCAGGGAATGGAACAGGATTCTTGGTGATAAAATTATAACACGTCCTTAGTGTATAATGTTAAGGTTTCTACAAAGTAGGCATTTTATATTTGTCAACGTCTTTATGATTTGTTTCAGGCTATTTAAACTGTTTGTTCATGCAATTGAGTTTATTGGTCGGTCGTTGGTTGGGTGAGCAGCCTGACATTTTGCAGTCATATATGACTTGATAACATGTGTGTTATTATTTATAGACATGAACGAAAACGAGTGGTACAAACTAGGAAAAAGGGGTAAGCATCTCTTAGTACATATTCATTTATTTTTTACCATCGCAACACTCAATTGAAACCCAGGCTCGGCCTTGAGGTCCATCCAAGGTTATTGGACATTTCCTATGTCGTGATAATTTAATAATTAGATGTAGTCTACAAAGTTAATTTTTTCGTTGGTGATGATGATGTTCTGAATCGTTACTAACGGCGGCAAAAACGTTAATAAATTTTAAACTAATTTCTGATGCTTTAGCTACCTGCATACATAAATACAATGATTATTTTAATATATTGGTTAAGCTATGGAAAATACAATTCACACATGACGATAAACCGACCTTTTCTTGCATAAAAGAAGACAACAACATAGATAACGAGGTCTATTATGTCTGCATCGAGTTTCCTAACCTTCTTGACTATGATGCAACGCATGATTATATGCGAATGATTACTGATAAAAATTCAGTTTTAAATTCGGTTATGCAAACACAGAATTCCATTTTGTCTATGCTTTTTGAAATGCACAGAGCACAATTAATGTGCTAGTCTGGATTCGAAATATAAACTGAAAGGCTATATATGTATACGTTTTACAGTAATTGAAAAGGGGAGTTGTCCAGCAGCACAACAGTATGCCAAGTCAGGATGTCCGACTGGACTCAGACGACATATTTGGACGTTAATACTAGATGTAGGGGACAATGAACAGGTGCGACGATTAACGTGATTTATTTTATGATGTATATAGGGCGTTGACTTAAACTGACTTTCAAATTTAAAGTGTTGCACATAGTATAAGCCACATTATTATATGGCAAGCATCACTTCCGGTGAAATGGCGGACTGTGATTGGCTGAGAAGCACTTTCAACGGTCCATTATTTTCCCGTAATGGACCGACGGTCCATTACGTAAAAACAAACGCATATAAATGCCATATAATAAACTTTTTATTAACCTCGCTTGCTCGGTATGTTCAGAGGAATATCGGATCTGAGCAATCGTTTTGTACAAACCTCGTCGTACGGGTTCGGTCTGTACAAAAAAGACCTCGGTCCGATATTTTACTGTACAGACCTCGCGTTCGGTTAATAAGAAGTTAATAATCTGTAAAATCCTGCATTAGCCCTATTTTCCAGCATATCTTTGATGAAACAAAATAACAATTGTGAATATTTATCTACATTATTGGCAAGGACAATATCATTTTCTTCAATTTCATGAATCGCTTATTTATAGACTTGTACATAGTTGCCTGTTTGAAAAGGAACATTTGATTTTTGAGGTTAGGTTACGTGATTGCTTTAGCCCTAGGACTACACATGGTAACCTTTACACTCATCAGGGGTGAGTTGTACAAAGATTTAGGTGATAGTGCTATCTAACGGACATAGTGATTTTTCCAACCTTTGTAAAAATTCCTGAAAAGCTGTGAAAATACGGATCCCACAATATATAACAAACTTTCATTTATAAATACTAAACTATAATCTGCATAGGGCTTACCTATTAGCGGCAAATTCTAGAAAATTGATCATAAAATCACTATTCGGTGGATAGGGCTATATATATACCGGCCCCGGGCAGTATAACACTAAATGTGATCGGAACTGAATAATATTAACGTCTATGATGTTTCGTATATATTTCTTTGTAGAACAAGGTGTATTTTGAACAGCTTAAGTCATACGTTTACGAATATGACTTATTGGTAGACACTCTAATTAAGAAGGTACCAGTTACATCTTTTTGTACTGCCATTTATTATATATTAAACAGCAGCTGCATGAAGAATGTATATTGTAGATAAACGAAAACATGCAGTCTGTATATAATGTATCAGGCAATTCCAGCAGTGTCCATCCCCCCGGGTATTAGCCATTTCTGGAAAGAGAATGGCTATGTCCCCACCCCAGGGAAAGAAGAACTGTGCTAAATCCCCACCCCTGGGCAAAACAATTGGGTATATATCCCCACACCCGGGCAATAATATTGACTGTTTAGTGCACGTTGATTTGCACGTTATAATTCTATGGACAATATAAAAGCGAAGTAGAAAATAGAAGTTCTACAACAAGAATAAAAATGCTTTTATATTAATGCAACAGTATAAATTCTCAACCCTAACTTCAGCGCATCCAGCTAGATCTATGATAATTATGTCAACCTTTGAAAATATTATCTTTACTTAAGCTAGCTTTCGTATGTCGCTGATAGTCGGAGATGCACTGATAGATCATTGTTAGTGATCATTGTTCATTCAAGGAGAAAACTATTTCATATACTGTAGACAAAGGATTTTACTCATCATGTAATGATCAAAAACAATGGTACTGAAAGGCCAAGGTGTTTCCACAAACAAAAAGTATAATATGTTTTATCGCCATGCAAACCTACAAAGAAATCTGCCATGTTATAGTCCGCCATGATGGAAAACGTCGAAGTCCCCACCTCCGGACCAAAAAATTTCGGGCACTGCTGGAATTGACTGATACATAAGTACTTAGGCTGTTGTATGGGGTTGTCAATATGATAAATATCGGTTTTTAAATTGTTAATTATTCGATATTTGGTTTTTCGATATATCGATATACCGAAAATATTGAAAGGTGTTTGGTATTTTCGGTATTGAGCTTTATTTTTCGACGTTTTTATTTGATCTCAGTATATAAGCTGTATTCTATTTTATTTTTTTTTGGTATTGAGTTTTATTTTTCGACGTTTTTATTTGATCTCAGTATATAAGTATTCTAGCTGTGATGCGTGAAAAGCTTGACACTTCCGTGTAGTCGGTATAGTTGGTTCGTCGGAAGATGTTTCGCCTATATCAGTTAATAACCTATATATTCGGAAATAGGAACCGCTATTTTTTGTGTATAGCTTGGCGGAAATCATATTTATAACATTTAGTGACTTTCAAGAGTAGAAAAAATAACGATATTAAATTATCGGTAATTGATAATCGGGGTTTTTCCCCATAAACTTTCAAAAATAATTTTGCTTTAAGGATGTCAAGTCAACTGCTACAAATGATGATCAATATTTCGTTTTTGAAGACTTACTCTATCAAGTAAGTGTGTTTTAACATTCATGCAACTGAGGACTGAAAGGCTATCCGGTAAACGTTCTAATTATTATTTCTATTTCTGTATAATTTGCAAGTATTTTCTTTTTATAGGTTTTATTGGCATTTACTCGTGATACGAAAGTATTGAAACACTTTGATCAGATGTCATCGTCGCCACCTAAATCTTACATAAGAGGTATAAGAATACATAATATTTTCAAATCACTATATTTATAGTTCTCAGAAAGGCCATCGCATAGAACGTTCTATAGAACGCCGCTCGAAGTTTCCGTCTACAAAAAGAGATGCTCAAAAATCTCGATATTTTAACCATACCTGGCATCCCCCACTATACAATTGTGGTTAGATCTTGACAACTGGACTCTGTAGCTCAGTTTGTTGGGCGCTGCACGGAATCGCAAGGGCTGCAGGTTCGATTCCTGCCAGAGGACCTATAGTTGCATTTTCGCTGCTGCTCCTGGTTAGGTCTAAGATCGTATATAATCTTCCGCTCGAAGTTTCCATCTACAAAAACCCCGCAATCTAAAATAGTCAAAATTTTACAAACCTAAAGTTCAATACAAAAAAGTTACTGCAGCATCTGTTCGCCAATATCAATTATTCAATTCCTATCGCACTGAAACGTCAATCATACTAAATGTTCAAATTAACCCTAAATTATAACTTATAAGAAGCACCCTTTACCTTTATCTATTCCGAAATTTGTTTCACTTTTTCCTCGAAATTGAAGCATACGGTATACTGTATGTATATAATATTAATATATAGCAGTAGGAGTGTCAGATGTTGGAATCTGCAGTAACCATGCTGCAAACCCCTGGGTCAGAAGGTCGTACACACTCGCGCGCACTGGTACAGTGGAAAATATTGTTCGTACAGTACCTTTTTGCAATTTTTACACTCGCGGAGGTCAGATTTGCATGATTTTCTCCTAGTGAATCCAAGACAGATTCAATAGAGGTATCATATTTTAAGACGCCGATTTCAGCAATGGATCCGTCACAAGTATCATACCACTAATTACTATATTGCCAAAATTGACTTTATGAGGCCTAATTGCTCAAGTTATTTTTGGCTATCTGCAAAAAAGTAAACATATAGACATGTATAGCAACCATTGCTTGGGTATTATGACATTACTTTAAAGGTCTAGTTTGTTTTATTCCAAACGGTAGTTCAACTGATCTCACTTCTCACTAGGAAAACTGGGAGTTCATGAATATGCAGTGTTTTATCCACCTAATGGTAGGTTTGCATGCATAATGATTTAAATCTACGTATATTGGTTTTCATCTAGGGTGTGGAGTGAGGTGATTAATCGAAAACGATGTCTTTTAAAAATCATTTAACTAATGTTGCATGCAATTGCACAAAAACCGAAAAAAGTTTATGCAGCTAATCCATATTTCGATAAAATCAAACCATACATGTAACGCGGTCTTTAATCTTTTATTGGTTCGGCTTTGCGTTGCAGTTTCACAAAGAAATAATATATGTGCAACAGTGTTTTAAGTTTCGAAGAAGTTCAGTTCGAACTGAACGATAAAGTGGATTTAAAAACGAAAGTGATTTTTGAGTAGCCGTCGTGCAGCATGTGTTCTAGTATATATAGCATCAAACGTGTTTTAGAAAACCGATTCATTCGACTTTTTCCGACCAGTTTTCAGTTTTTTTATAAGAACTGCCTCATCCTATTTTTAACGTCAATTACTCTTTCTGTGTTCTAATACAGATTTCTGAATTTATTTACAGGTATTATTCCATTCCATGGCTTTTCTATGTATGGTAAAGAAAAATCCGTGTTTTCATGATGAATTGGAAGGAAATTTAGAATGAAACTCCACATACTTATTAATTTATTTAATTACTATCTTGACCTATATAGCTGCTCCGTTATGTTACATGTATGAGAATCCATCTCGTCTCTATCACGTTTTTAGAGAGCTATACACCAGGTAAATTGTGAATTTTCTTCATAAAATAAAGGTTAAAATTAATGTGAAATGGGAGTTTCTGCACATTTAATTTAAGCAATCAGTTTTAAACAATAAAGGAACTATTCGACATATTCCTCGTGTTTAACTTGAATCTATTTGTACTGAAATCCATTTGTGATATTCTTTCATATAAACATCTTTATATCTTTGTTTGTTTATAGATATTTCTCCCGCCTTCACTGTATTTCATCACATCCACAGGTACATGCATGTAGTCCTACTGATATACGTGCATGCTTATATAGTACCATGCCAGGGAATTCGATTTGACTTAAATCTGGGACGAATTACTTAATATACAAGAAAACATTTCTGTGTTATTTTTTTAAATTTTTAATCAACATTCAATTTAAAAGGTTAAATTGAATCCTGATTAAAAATTAAAGAATATTGTTTTAGAATGAGAGGTGAAAGTTTTAGAACAACTATTTTCTCATGTGTTTCTACTGTATAGCCTTGTGCGCAGGTATTTCAATACAGGAACCCCTCCCTATAGTGAAATGTCTGCGGAGACTGCAATAGGTTCTATATTCAGTTAACCAGAAATGCCATGCATGCAGAAACCCCTCCTCGCCTTGCTAATGAAACAACTATATATTTTCCAAACATGAAGTATTTAAGATAATTGTCATGGTAACACGATCATTTTTTCTTTTCTTTTTTCCTTCAGCATGAATAAAGCTTGTATACGTATACCTATAGTACTGTTGATAGAATATTCTCTTTCTCTTAGGGAATAGTGTCACTGTGTCTGCTGTTTGAGACACTACTACAGTCCCAGGAACCTGGCCTGTTTTACCATCTACGACGTATTGGGATGCATCCGTAAGTTAATTACATGTCGATAAGTTAACGAATGACTATAAGCCATTATAAATTTACTACATATACTTGAAACTTTAATGTTATAATTATATGGATAAACTCCTAGATTGTCCATATAATAAAATTAAAGTACTCGGGTATGATATGTGGGCAAAAGGCTTAATCTATTTATTTATTTATTTATTTATATTACTTCGCCATTTGATAAATTTACACAAAATGACATGTATACAATACCATAATGCAATGCAATGCAATATAATACGAGTATAGTATAATATATATATATATATATATATATATATATATATATATATATATATATATATATATATATATATATATATATATATATATATATATATATATATATATATATATATATATATATATATATATACAAGGTGTATCAAAAAAAGCGCAATCCTCGACTGAAATGTAAATTGCTAAACAAATAATAGACGAAAACGTTAAAGTTTACATTCATTTTAAAGCGTAGCCATTCAGCTTTCTAACAGTGGGTTGTTTCTTAAATTTGACTCATTGGTTCGCGGGTAATAATACTTTACGTTATTGCGATTGGAGATTAAAAAATTGAGATGGAATAACAAATCGTTCTCATGAAAATAACTGATTTTTTCATTAAAACAAACAAATGTTGCATTTTATTAAATGGATTGTAACAATGAGTATAATTACGGCTTTTTTTCCACTATTTTTAACTCAGTTTG